CCCAGGTCCTGGTGGGCTTCTGGCAGGCAGAAGGGCGGTGACTTCGGGGCTGTGGGGACAAGCGCACCTCAGTGCCCGCCCCCAGCAGCCTGGCACTAACACAAGCGCCCTCCCTGCACGCACAGGTGGGAGCAGCGGTGGGGCGCACGTCGGACGGGGGCGTCGAGGGCCTGCTGAGTGACCCTGTACCAATCCCCGCGCCTGTTTCCTCATCCGCGACTGGGGCTAATGGAAGAGATGAGGATGCACCCCTGCCGCCACCCGAAGCTTCCTCCTCCTTAATCTCCAGCCGCGTGTACCAAGACTTAAATGCATCAGCACGTCTGCTCCAGGCGGTCCCTTCAGAATGCCCACAACAAATGAGGAAAGCGCTGCGGTTCGGTAAGAAATCTTTCACAAGGTTCAGCTGATGTTTGGGCAAAGACTAATCACGGTACCAAAAGGGCACTGATGCTCTGTGGGACCGGGTACATCACCCCCCCACCCGTGGATCCTTAGTGCCCGAGTCTGAGGCCTGGACCAGAGGAGCCGGAGAGCACCGGGGACGCTGACCTTGGCCTGGCCGGAGGAGGACGCTGCTGGGGTCGGCCAGCGAGGCCACCGAGGCGATGGGGCCCTTTGTCACTGCCCAGTCAAGGATCTCGGTCTTGGTAGTAAACTGTGGCAGCTGAGTGACGTTGATTTCTGGGGGCTCTTGGAAGATGACCAGGTTGGCATTCTGAGGAGACACGGGGAGTCTCAGGGCACTGTTCCGGCTGAATCCCTTTAGTCCTGTGCAGGGCCCAGGATGTAATTGGCTGACACGCCCGTCCGCCACCAACTGTATCTGCGCCAGCTCCCTCCTCGCACCGCCCGGCCCAACATCACCCTTCAGCCCACATTCGTGACACCACGTGGCTACTGTCTCCCTCTCTGTACCCTGAGGACTCTGAGGGACAAACAACTTCACCCTGACACACGGCGCGTGGTGGGGGCTCCCTGTGCACGGAAAGGGAGGAAGGAAGGGAGAAAAAAGAAATGGATTGGTCCCTGCCCTGGGAGATCTCACCATTTAGAAATCAGACACACACAAGAGGTAACAGAGAGCAGGGGATGTTATTTTAGGAGAAGAGAGAAGGAAGCCGGGTCCCCTGGCTGCATGTGGAGGGGGGATCTGTGTGGCTGTAGTATCTGCTGTCAGGAGAGGCTGCCAGACGGGAAAGGGAATCAAGGAAGGCTTCCTGGAGGAGGCGCTGTGGTGGAGGAAAGGCTCCCAAGGAAGTCTTTGGGGCCAGTGACTCAAGAGTTCCTTTGTGCCATCCTCAAGGCTGTGGGCATTGAGCCGTCTGCAGCAGCAGCAGGACTTCAGGGCCGGATATGGAGGGTTGTAGAATCCCAAAAGGACAAGAGAGACCACATGGGAATCAGGAGGGTCTATGAGGTGTACACCCAAACCGGCAGAACCCGTGCCCAAAGTGCTGGGCGAGTGAACAAAGGAAAGTTCCAGTTGTTATACATTTAGTCCAAGTGGGCTGGTCTTTCTAGTGATATAGCGAGTGAGTTCACTGGAACAAGGCAAGGGCAGACAGTTTAGTAATTCAGCCTTGTAAGGAGACAGTGTCTTGTGAATCATATGGGAACAGGGTGTCATAAATTTTGTTCACAGAACATAGTTGTGGTATACACCTGCAATCCTAACACATGTGAGGCCGAGGCAGGAAGATCACCTCGAGTTCAAGGTCAGCCTGGGCTACCCAGTGAGTTCAAGGCCAGCCTGAATTACATAGCGAGATCCCATCTCAAAAGCAAAAAACAAACACCAAGATTCCTCTTGTCCTTTCCCCTTTGTACTTAAATATTTTCAAATAGATGTCTTAGAACTTGTTCAGAGGCAATGACCAAGGGAAACTGGAGCTTGTGACGGACCAGGGTGCCCAGGTTGCTGTCAGCCTGACGCACCTCCTGGTCCTGCTGTCCCCTGGTCTCGCTTTGTCAGGGGCCAGGGGTTGGTTCACCAGTCAGGGCCTTGGTGACACATGTCAGAAGCCGGCCTTCTGGGGCAGGGGACGCTGGCCCATGGAGACTGACAGCGGGGAACGCCTGGCGGCCAGGGCCTTGGCCTGGCCGGGGGTGACACTCACGTAGGCCAAGCGGAGAGGGATTCCCGGGGCCTGGAGCTGCAGGAGGATGTTCGTGTTGGTGACGAGGACCAGAAGCACCTCTCGGGTGTGGGTGCCATTTGGCTGGGGTGCCTGGAGGGTCAGCTCCAACTGTGACACGGCCTGCAGAGGGACAGGGAGACATGCTCAGCCCAGACCAGGGAGACTTGCCCAGAAGGCACAGCCTGAACAAATAGATAAGACAAGTCCCAGCGAACCCCACAAGAAGAAAAAACGGATGAGTCTGAACGTCATATGCCATCATCAGTCAAGATTCATTATTTCTGTTATGAATTACTTTTTCTTCAATACCAGGGATTGAACTCAGAACCTTGTGCTTGCAAGGCAGGCAACAGCACCACTGAGCTAAATCCCCAGCCTGTTATGAATTCTTTTGAGCCTCAAACTTGCAGTGATCATCTTTCCTCAGCCTCCCAAGTGCTGAGATTACAGATGTGAGCCACCATGGCAAGATGTATTATTTCTAGCACATTTGGGAGGCTGAGGCAGGAAGGTCGCAATGAGTTTGAGGCCAGCATTGGCTACATGGGCCAGGGATTTAGCTCAGTGCAAGTTTGATCCCTGGTACAAAAAAAAAAAAAAAAAAAAAAAAAAAAAAAAAAAGACAAAACATACTCTTGTAGTTCGCACTGTTCCTCTTTCTCTATCTTAGAGTACTAAAATGCTGGCGTCTTTGTTGGTATTACTATGGTTTTCATGTAAGAATGTCAAGTTGAAGTCATTTGTTTTGAAATATAACCACTTCGTTCAAAATTATTATTATTTTTTTACTGCTGGGATTAAACCCAGATCCTCATCCACGCTAAGCCCATGGAATACCACTGCGCAGCACTGTCAGCTGCACTGCCAATTGTAATCCGTGAGCGCTGTATACAATTCGAATGCCTCCCTAGTGACGGCGTTAATGACACACAACGCTTACCCACAGCTCTGTCTATGCTGGGACCATGTAAGGGCTTTGCACATTAATTCATTTAATCCTGATACAACCCCAAGGGGTAGGCATCATCGTCATCATCATTATTATTTTTATTTTGCTTTTTGAGACAGGGTCTCACTATGTAGCCCAGGCTGGCCTTGAACTCACGGCGGGTGATCCTCCTGCCTCAGCCTCCCGAGTGCTGGAGTACAGGCGTGCATCATTACACCTGGCTGGTTTCATTACTATTCTCACCTCTAGGTGAGGAAACTGAGGCACAGAGAGGTGAGGTCACTGGCCTACAATCACACAGCAAGTGAGGGTCTGGGGTTTGGACCTTCAGGGCCTGCGCTGGCCGGCCACACCTCTCCGTACCCTACTCTGAAGACAAGAAAGAAGCCAGTAACCCATGGGGCAGAGCTTCTAGCAGACAGGGACCTGGGTGCCAGGACTTTCTGGGAAGCACAGTGCTGACTCACAGGGACAAGGACGGATGGGAGTGTCCCCAGGAGGGACTGCAGGGCTCCCGCGGAGACGGAGGGCAGCAGTGGAAAGTTTTGGGATTTCGCTTCTAATCTCCCGGCTGATGTCACGGAGCTGACAGCCCTGGAAAAATGTGCTCAGAAACATTTCCGGGACTCAGTGGGGACGCTGGGACCCCCGCGTGCGCGAGGTCCTTCTCAAAAGCAAACAGCGACAGCAGACAGTGTTACTCCGTTGCCAGTGTTCCCCGGATTTGTTAGCGTGCTTTAGGGTGTTAGTCCTAGTCTCACGCTAATTTATAGCAGGATAGTTTCAAACTGACACATGCGTATGTTCATGTTACTGTTTTCGAATGGTTTACAAAGTGTTTTGTTTTGTTGATTAAAAAAAAAATACTACGATCTCGCAAGCGCAAGGTCCTGAATTTGATCCCTGGTACCAAAAAAAACAAACCAAAACAAAACAAAAAAACCACAACTATGCATTCTAAACACTTTGAAAATTAAATTAAATGCTGGCTTTTTTTTTTTTTTTTTTTTTTTTTGGCGATGGTGGAATGGGAGATCCAGCACTGCCAGGGACCTCGGATCTGTCTTCAGTGCATTTCTAGCACCTTCTCTCCACCTCTAAACCCCCAATAAAATGATTTGAGCCCCCCTAAAATATTAAATACTGGCTTAGTGTGGTGGCACATGCCTGTAATCCCAGGACTGTAGGAGGCTGAGACAGGAAGACTGCAAATTTCAGCCCAGCCTGGGCTATTGACTTAGCAAGACCCTGTCTAAAAATAAAAAATAAAAAGGGCTGAAGATGTAGGTCAGTCAGAAGGTCCTAGGTTCAATCCCCAATAGCAAAACAAAAACAAAAACAAACACCCCCCTAAACAAAATACCATAAAAGCAAGGATGTGATACCAAGTTTTGATTTTTGAGCTTTGCTTCCCCCCTGCCCCAGTACTGGGGTCTCAGGGATGCTGTACCACTGAGCTACATCCCCAGGTCCTTTTGGTAATTTTAAAAATTTTGACACAGTATCTTGCTAAATTGCCCAGGTTGACCTCAAATTCGAGATCCTCCTGCCTTAGCCTCCAAGGAGGTGGGATTACAAGTGTGCACCACTGTATTTTGACAAAATACGAATTACACACATCTTGTTTCAGGGTTGTGATCACTTCCTGAAATGGACCAGAGCAGAACCAAACCTAGTGGTGTTGGGAAAGGCCTGGGTCCAGTACAGCTTCCAGCCTCATTGAGAGCAGACTCTGATGCCCCGTGTCTATCCGCTCCAAGAATCTAGTGCTTGCACAACTCTGAGTGCCTATTAAAACCACTCAACTGTACAGTTTCTTCTTTTGTTGCGGTTTTGCTTTTTTTGAGACAGAGTTTCTAATGTATATAGTTCAGGCTGGCCTCGAACTCACTATGTAGCCTAGGATGGCCTTAAACTTATACTGATCCTCCTGCCTCAGCCTCCCAAGTGCTGGATGACAGGCCTCTGCCACCCTGCCCAGTTCAATAGTGTGCTTTTTTTTTTTTTTTGGTTTTTTGGGACAGGGTCTCACTATGTAATTCAGACTGCTCTGGAACTCACTGTGTAGCCCAGGCTGGCCTAGAACTCACAGCGATCCTCCTGCCTCAGCCTCCGGAGTGCCTGGGAAAATATAGGCATGCACCACCAAGCCCTGCTTTGTTGTTGTTGTTGTTTGGTTTTGGGATTTTTTGTTGTCATTTTTGGTACCAGGGGTTGAACTCTGGTCCTTGCGTTTGTGAGGCAGGAGGCAGAACCACTGAGCTAAATCCCTGGCCCTTATAGTGCGCTTTCAATGGGAAAATTTTACTTCAGTAAAGCTGCTTACAAAACTACTGAGCACCAGTAATTTCTCACGGTTCACCCTAAGTGGCCCTGTTCTGAGCTTGGGAACCTGTCAGTGACCAAAGTGGAGCCCACAGCCCCTGCACAGGTGGGCCGCTGTCCTGGACCCCTTTGGATTACTTCTCGATCCTGCTTCTCCCTCATCTATCCCCGGCTCCACCCGTCTGCCCCGCTGGGGAGAGAACATCAAGGTGCAAGTGTGGCCACAGGTGCACCCCGTGCTTCGGTGATGGCAGCTAGACCTGTACTGTGCCTCTCGGTGACACCACAGGCTGCAGGAGCTCTGGGCCTGGAGGAGAGAGCCCTGGGAGCCTGCATCTTGCTGCTGGCCCTGTGCCTCTCAGGGCCTCAGTTTCTCATCTGGCGGCAGGATGAGGTGGAAGAGCCGACACCCAGCGGGGTCCCGGCTACAGGAAGTGACGAAAAGGAGGTAGACGTCAGGGCGCAGTCACGCTGAGGTCAGGGGTTAGGAGGACAAGGCTTTGTCACATTTGTCACAGCACTCAGCTCTTCTCCCAGGACTCATGAACCAAACCCGCCAGTCCACTGTCACCAAGTCCTCCCCGGACAGTTGGGGACTGGAGGGCTGAGGCCTAAAGAGGCACAGTCACTGGCCAGGTCACGGTGCAGTAACAGAGCAGCCTGGGAACGCAGGGAGGCTGGGAAGCAGGGCCCTTGGGGGGTGTGGCACTCCCCAAAACCAGGGGAGCCGCTCAGACCAGCCTGTCCCTCCCCACAGCCCTGAGTCACTGGTGGCCACTCACACGCACGGCCTGGCCCTCCTCCCACTGTCACCTGGCCCCCGGTCCCCGCTTCCGGGATCCTGGGGCAGTCGGGGCAGCAGACCGGCCAACCCCTCATCCCCGGCCCTGCCAGCCGGGGCCTGCCCCGTCCCCTCCCTGAGCCTGTGGGCGGGAGACCGAGTTGCTATTTTTGTGCCAGTGTCGCACAGACGCATTGTCGGCCGGCAGTAGGTGGCGGGAAGGGGATTTCAGCGAGGAGGCCCTGAGCTCGCACGAGTGGCCACTTATAGAAAGCAGTTTCCAGCAATTCTTCTCGGAGCAGAGCCTCGGGGCTGCCTGCAGTCCGCACCCTCCCAGGATCAGCCCAGAGGTGGCCGCACTGGAGCCAGCTGTCTCTCTGTCTCCCCAGCAGACCCAGACAGTGCCTACAGGAAGGGCGGCCAGGGAAAGGGGTCAGAGCCAGATGGACCTGCGCTCAAATGTGAGCTCTGTCATTAGCCTGTGACCCTAGACGGTCAGCCCTCCTTGCTGGGCCTCAGTTTCCAGTTCTGGAAAATGGGCTGAATGAAGTTGGCCTTCTGTATTCTTGGCTTATATATCTGTAAATGTGACCATGCAGGGATTTTTCTTTTCTTTTTCTTTTTCTTTTTCTTTTTTAAGAGACAAGGTCTTGTTATATTATCCAGGTTGGCCCTGAACTCCTGGCCTCAATAGATTCTCCTGTCTCAGCCTCCTATGTAGCTGAGACCACAGGTACATGTCACCTTTCCTAGCTTGAAATAAATATATAAATAAGTGTATTTGTTTGTTTGTTTGAGACAGAGTCTTTCTATGTAGTTCAGGCTGGTCTTGAACTCACTGTGAACTCACTATGTAGTCCAAGCTGGCCTTGAACTTGTGATGGTCCTAACTCAGCCTCCCAAGTCCCGGGATTACATGCATGTACCACCATGCCCAGCCTGAAATATATTTTTAAAATTACAACTGTGCTGAAAACTTACAGGTTTTTGTTTTCCTGGTCATAATTTGTGTCACTGGCATTAGATTATGTATCATGAGTAATCTAGAGATGTTTTAAAATGTAGGAGAGGATTGGGTAGGTTTGTGCCAATGCCACATGTTTGTGGGTAAGGAACTAGAACATCTGTGGATTGGGTCTCCTTGGAGAGCTCCAGAGCCTATGTCCCCAGACACCGAGGGACATCAGCAGGTGGCAGTAGCTTGCGCACGCATCTGGAGGAACAGGAGGGTTCACGTTGGACAGCAGTGATGGAGGCTGAGATGCCAACTGTCCCTTCCCTGGGTCTCTGTCTCCCATCTCTGCCAAGGAACCAGGCTCAGTGGCTTTCAAGGACTGGGTGGCCCTGCATTCCAACTGCCTCATGGGAGTCCAGCTTCTAGGAGTCCTGGTGCACAGCCAGGTAACTCGGAGGGGGCCCCCAGGGCCCCTGGAGAAAGACACTCTCGCCACCAGTGAGGGGCCCTGCTCCCCCAAGCCCTCCCTGCTGCCCGACTTGTTTGCCTTCCTGCAAGGCCTTCACTAGGGCTTCTGTGCTCCCAAAGGAAACAGCAGAAGGCACAGCTCTGTCCTTGGGTGCTTGCTGTAGAACAAAGGCGACCCCTCCAAACGACAGGGAGCAGTGACTCTACCAAGCGCGCTGGGCACTCCCTCGGCAAGGCTGATAGTCACGACATCTCCTCCTCCCTCCTTCCTGTTACCCACCGACCATCGTCCGTTCATTCTCCATCCAACAGATGACTGTCTGCCTCGGAGAGGGACACTGGGGACACGATGAGATGGACACAGTCCCTGCCCAGCCTTTCTGCCCCTTGACCCAAGACCCTTCACCGAGCATGCTGGTCACACTTGCAAGGTCTGGGACAAGAACACAAAATGACAGCCCTGGCCCCAGTCCTCCTCACGCTGTCTTTTTTTTCCCCCCTTTGAGATAAAAATCTCACTATGTAGCCCAGGCTGGACTAGAACTCAAGATCCTCCTCCCTCAGCCTCCCAAGTGCTGGGATTACAGTCAAGTGCAACTACATCTGGCTCACCATGCTTTTTTGTGGTTTTGTTGTTGTTGTTGTTATTTTTTGTTTGTTTTTTTTTTTGAGACAGGGTCTCACTATGTAGTTGAGACTGACCTGGAACTCACTATGTAGCCCAGGCTGGTCTTGAACTCACAGCGAGCCTCCTGCCTCAGCCTCCCAAGTGCTGGATTACAGGCAGGCACCACCATGCCCAGCTTTTACTGTGCTTTTGACAGCACAGCAGTGTGCTCATGGGTCCTCGAGTGGTGGCCCAGCCCAGATGCCCAAGTTCTGCTATTCCTGCCTTTGAAGAGCCAGCTCCACCACCCTTCAAGTCTAGGGGCGCTCATGTTGGCCAGGCAGTGCCCCCTCTAGAGGACGGAACAAGATGGAGCCCAGTGTGGCCTGGAGAAGGTTCAGTGCCACTGTCAAAGAATTCAGGCATCTTGGGCACCCACAGCAAGGCCTAGAGCACAGGGGAAGGTTCCAGGTGGGCACATCTGTTCAGCCCTGCAAGCTCCCCACCCTGGAGAGGGGTACAACTACAAGAGGGCCCTTGCCCGGGGCTGAGGGCCCTGCCTCTGGGATGGTCTGAGGGAGCCCAGGGTACTTCCTGGATCCCTCTTAGGGCCCCAGCAGCCTTGCCTGCCCCTCTGGGCATGCATGAGTCAGTGCCAGACCCTGGCTGGGTGCAATGTCCTTGCTCCCTGTCTGCACGGAAGTTGAGTGAATCAGCCGCTGACCCAGCTCTGCTGCAGGCTGGGCTTTGTGAAGAAGACAGCAGATCAGTGCGGCGGCCTGACGGGAACCGCTGACACGGGGCGGCTTCCTGTCTCCCGGGTCAGGATGTGACCCCGGCCCCCTCCCGGAATCCAGGCTCCGGCCTGCCCTTTGGGGACCTGGTGAGATAAAGCCTGTGCCCAGCGGGCCCTTGCCTGCCCGCTGACCCCCCAACACACACACACGCACACGCTGAGTGCCGCTTCCCTGGGGTTCTTGGCTGCCACCCACAGGAAACCTGAGGGCTCTGGGGCCACTGGGGGTTAGACGGGAAAGCCACTTCTCAGTGCCAGGGCCTGACGAAGGTGGCCACAGGTCAGGCGGACAGGACGGGCTGCCGAGACGCCCCCTCCCCCAGGCTCTGTCTCCACGCCTTGCACACGCAGTGCCCTCTGCCAGGAATGCCCGCCTCGCGCTCTCTGGCTCGACCTTGAAACCTCTCGCCTGTGTCCCTTCCTCCACGCCCAGCACTTCTCCCCCTCTTGTCACTGACAGCCCCCGGCACCCCCTCCGCACGCCCACCCCTCCCCTGAACTCCAGGGCTGCCGCTGCCCACCTCCCTGGCCCTGCCACGGCTCAAGGGCAGGGCCTCCTTCACCTTCTCCCTGCATCACCACAGGCAGGGCACAGATCTGGCGAGGGCTGGCGAAGGGGCACTGGGAGAGCTGGCCTGGATCACGGGCACAGCCCTTAGCACAGGAGGCTGGGCCTCACCTGGCCACTCTGAAAATGGATTCATGCTCCTCCTGGTCTACCTGCGGTGATCAAGTGCAAGGTCCTGAGTTCGATCCCTGGTACCAAAAAAAAAAAAAAAAAGAAGAAGCCAGGCATAATGGTGCACATCTGTAATCCCAGCACTTGGGAGGCTGAGGCAGGAGGATCAACATAAATTCGAGGCCAGCATGAACTACATAGGTGGGCCCTATCTCGCAAAACCAAAATAAAAAATTGAATGTCAAATGAATTGGCAGATATGAAGCTGTTCTGTGAACTGTATCATGCCTAGCACAATGTAGGTATTTGTGGTGAGGAACGGAACCCTTACAGAGGAAGTAGCAGCAACATGGCTGTCATACATCGAGGAGCGGCTCTTGGCTGGTCCCACGCTTGGTATTTTGCCTGCTCTGTCCAACTGGATTCCCACAGCAACTCTGTGAGGTGGGAGCTGTGAACATCATCTCTGTGTTTCTGGGGGTGGGGCAAGGGGTGACCAGGGCGAGGCCATGCAGCCAGAGGGCTGAGGAAAAGCCCAACGGGAGGACCGTGCAGCTCCAGAACCTGTGTGGGTGGGTGTGGTCCCTGTGCTTTTGCTTTGTCCTGAGATGGGGTCTCACTGTGTTGCCCGGGCTGGCCTGGAACTTACAGGCCAAGGGATCCTCCTGTCTCAGTCTACTGAGTATCAGGGACAACAGAAGTGCATCGCCGTGCCCAGCCAGAACCTGGGCTCCTAACCCCAACGACTACATCATCCCCAGATAAAGACCACGCTCCCCAGCAGGGCGACAGACCTTTCCGTGTCCCCAGCCTCACTCAGAGGCGAGCAGCTGGCTCCCGGGGTGCAATGAACACAGCCAATCCCCCGACCCTCCGCTCCTCCCACTGCCTCTGCACTCTGTGAGCTCCTGACAGCCCTCCACGGTTGCCTCCCCCAGGAATCGCTGCCTGATTCGGTGGCAGCTGGAGTCCACCGCCCCGGGCTCCCTGCAGATGCGCCAGTTTCTTGGGACCCGGCTGGCTGTTCCCACATCCATCTCCCACCTGGGCCTGAACCTCGGGCCCAGACCTTCCTCTGCCCTCAGCCTGTTGTGAAATGATCAGGATCAGGGATCCCAGTCACCCAGAAGAGACACAAGGAACCCCAACATCAGAGCAAACAAACGTACGGAGAGCGATCACACTTTCCATGTCATTACCAAATTTGCAAAAAAGTTACAGTGCCCTCGACAACCCCCACAAAATGTGTCTGGTGCTATCTGTGGTTTGGAGATTATCGAAGCCCACAGTCCTCGCGGCTGGCAGGGTGGTGGGGACGAGGGACCTTGATATTGGTGGTCTGGGTACCTTTTTATCACCACACAAATGCAAGACATCTCAACAGTTTTGGGGGCAGGCTGGCCACGAGCTTACCCTGAGCCACACACTGCTAAATTGCTATTAGGGCCTAAGGCCAGTCATGCTGCCTGAGGCAGATCCAGGGACAGATTGGTCTCGAGATGGTCTCTCGGCTTTCAGACACTGCCTGGTGGAGTCACAGACGTGGGAGAAGGGAGCATTCCAGGGAAAACAGGGTGCCCTTTCTTGAAGTCTGAGCGGCCAACAGTGCAGCCGTGCCCTTTGAGAAGCAGGGAGAGCCCCATCCTGGGCACAGACGCCAAAGTCCCCTGGGCTGCCACCCACCCAGCCTCCCACGAGGCACTCGCCAAATCCAGCCCCTTCAGCCAGGTCTTGTGGTGGCCTCCAAAAACTGCCCCTGCCACCGGAAGTGCGGCCCCTTGTGAGTGGTGCAGAGGCCCCGTGGGTCCCTTGGTAGGGGCCCCAAGAAGAACTGGGCCACTGTCCTGGGTACGGCCGCTAGAAGGCCTTGCTCATCCTTCTGGGCCCTTCCCGACCCCGCCTGGGGCACTCACATTCGGGAACTCCAGGAAGAGGACGTGGACTTCTAGGTCGGCATCAGGAGTGTGTGCCACACAGCCCTCGGGGACCTGGCTGGTGGTGTACGTCACCTCGCCTCTGTGGGGCTCCACAGGCTGTAGGTCACAGGAGACATTTTCTGCAAGACCTGTTGGAGAAGCAGAGTGGGCAGGAGGCCAGATAAGAGGCTAAATGAAAATGTGCCAGGCCCTGGGTTCCATCTCCAACAACAGGGAGGAGCAAAAAGCAGCCAAGTGACAATTACTCCCATTTCCTGAAGGTCTGCTAGGTACTCGGCATGGACTCAGGGCTTTACGGAGTCTTCACAGCTCCCCTAAGAAGTGGGCGCCATGGAATCCAGGTAATCGATGAAGACACTGAGGCTCTCAGTGAAGTCTCTTGGCCAAGGTCAGAGTACTACCAGGTCTAAGGTCGACAGATACAACACAGGACACTAGTTACATTTTAATTTCAGATAAATCCTATGTTTTATGTTGTTGTTGTTGGTGGTGGTTTTTTTAAAAACAAAGTCTTGCCATGTATTCCAGGCTAGCCTTGAACTCACTATGTGGCCCAGACTGGCCTCAAACTTAGCAATCCTCCTGCCTCAGCCTCCCTAGTACTGGGATCACAGGCGTGCACCAGGCAACAATAAATTTCTAAAAGTGTAAGTATATCCCAAATGATGCCTGGAATATATTTGTACTACAAAAACTTTCCTTGTTTATCTGCGATTCAAATTTAGCTGGGCATCCTCTATCTTTGCCACACTTGGTAATACACATTGCTTAGGGCCTACATACAAGCCTGAGATTCAAGCCCAGCTCAACCTCAGAGAAAGTGGGAGCTGAGGTCAGGGGGCAAAACTTTCCTCTTGACCCTCACAGGGGTTCCCAAGAGGGTCCAGAGTCTCCTGGCCCAGGGGACAGGGTGAGCAAGTGGGCAGCCCAGGCTGGAAGGCCACCGTCCCCAGCCGAGGCCTCAGTGCCTGAGGCTGGGCGGCCGGAAACACAGGTCCTGAGGGAGAGGAATGGAATTTCACCCTGACCCCGCAGAGGAGGAAAAGGAAATGAGGCCCCTACACCTCGTCCTAAGGAATGTGACGCGGGAAGGGGGGTGGCGGAGGAGGGAAGGAGGACAGAGAAGGGGAGACTGTTTGGAAGTTTGTGTCTCCATCTTGTCGCGCTTACTTCCTGTTTTCTTGGAGATCAAAGATGGGTGCGGAGGGACTGCCTCACGTCCAGCTGAAGCCCGCTCCAAGGAGCGGGACTCTCGCCTGCCTGGGCTCCTCCTTCCCCACCCACCTTTCCACAGTTGCTGGCCTCAGAGCCCGGAGATCAGACAAGATGGAGGGTGGCGCCCCTCGCCCATCCAGGAAAGAAGATTGGAGCCAAGACTTTTGGCCTCTGTGGGGCCAAGGACTGACTGACTTACTTATTTATTTGTTTATTTATTTTAAGGCAGGGTCTCCCTATGTAGTTCGGGCTGGCTTTGAACTCACGAAGTAGCCCAGGCTGGCCTCGAACTCATGGCGATCCTCCTGCCTCAGCCTCCCAAATGCTGGGACTACAAGTGTGCACCACCACGCCTGGCTTCCCAGGCCTTGTAAATCCTTGTTCTGGCCCCATCCTGAGTGTGCCAGGGACTTCAGAATGCTTGGGCAATGTGTCAAGGTGGCTCAGATCAGGGCCTTTGGAGCCAGGTTGAGTCGGCTTTGACTCTCAGGCCCTATCTGTTAAACAGATTTACCAAATGATTTCACACACAGCTTTGGTTTCCTGCTCTGCAAATGACGGTGAGAATAGAACCCACCCAATCACAGGGTATGCTGGGGAGGCCCCATGAGATACGGCACACGGCAGTTCTCATTTTTTTTTTTTTTTTTTTTGGTACCAGGGCTCGAACTCGGGTCCTTGTGCTTGCAAGGCAGGCGGCGGAGGCAGTTCTGTTAATTACATTTACTTTTTGCTGGGCGTGGTGGCGCATGCCTGTCATCCCAGCACTTGGGAGGCTGAATCAGGAGGAGCACTGTGAGTTCGAGGCCAGCCTGGGCTGCACAGTGAGTTCAAAGCCAGCCTAGAGGACATAGTGAGACCCCATCTCAAAATAAAAAAACAAAAAATTTGCTGGCTATAATCACTGTAGGAACATTGACCGCATAAGGGGTAGGCTGCGTAGTTGATAACTGCAGCTACCAGGACAGGGTCCTCTGGGAGCCAGGTCTCTGGGGTCTCCCTCACCCCAGCAGACTCAAAGCCCATACCCTCTCCTGCCATCCCATCCCCTTCTGAGTCCCCAGCTCCCCAGCTCTATTCCAAGTCCCTCCTCCACAGACGGGGAGACCGAGGCTTGGAGAGGTAGGATTTGGGGAGCACACAGCATCTGGAGACCAGGCTGGGACTTGGCCCCCTCTCCCACCCCGTCCCGGGACCTGGCCTGTAGATCAGCACAGTGCCTCCCACCTCTCCTTCCCTCCGGACCTTCCCTGCCCCCTCCCCAGACTTCCAGGAACCCCAGTTCCTCCTGGACTGCCGGGGCCGCCTGGGGCCGCCTCCTCCATGCCGTCAGCCTGGCCATTATGTAATGATCAGATAACAGGCCAGGCTGGGAGATCAGATAAGAGGTCCATTTATTTTGGGGCCTTTTCGGATCCTGGCCGCCTCCACCCCGCAGACTAGAATGGGGAGACGGGCGGGAGGGTGACGCCGGGGCCCGTCTCCCGGAGCCCAGTCCAGCTACAAACAATCCCCTGGCACCAAAGGAAACTCTGAGGTCTCCCGGGACCCGACCTGGTCAGAGGCCGCTCTGCCACCGCCACCAGGAGCCTGGGTGACTGGGCCTCTGGGTCGAGACCCCGGGGCCGCCTCCCACCGGTAGATGGGCAAGAATATAACTCCAGCCTTGTAGACGTCAAATACAATGAGTTCGCGTTCCCCAGAATCGAAGAATGAATTCTAAGGAACCACAGAAGTTAAGGGTAGGAAAATGTTATTGAGAGAGTTCCTGAGAGCCAGGAGGGGGCCCGAAAGTGGGCTGCCAGTGAGCCCCCTCCTCAAAGGAAGTTTTATAGAGCAAAATCATGAGGCGAGCACAGCATGGGTCAGAGCTATGATCAACCAATAATCACGAGTGCAGCCACTTAGTAATTCTGGATCCAGTGGGGGAGCAGGCCTGCTTTACGAAGGGATGGACTGGGAGGCCCTGGTCACCCACCTGGGCGTCTAACATCTGTCTAGACTTTGTGGACCGGGTGATGCCTTTTATCTTAGTCCTCCGCAGAGGCACGTAGGCCTGATCTCTCTGTCTTTATCTTGAGGCCTGGCCATCCGCACCGACTCCCTGTCTGACCGCCTAGATTTCCACCTAACTTGTCTGTCTATTTCACTTCTAGAGCCACACACGCCCAGATGTGTTGTTCTGATTCTCCTGGGGTCTGCATGGTGAGTTTTTCCAGGACAGGAGGGAACCTGGGCCATCAGTGTCCCGGTCACTCAGCCCAGACTCAGGCAGACACAGGACACAACTGTGAAATCAGTCTGTCGGGCCCACCTCTGACTTGCGTTCAAACCCCTTCTCCATTCTGGGACTCGGTCTCCCTGTGGGTGCTGGGTGGGGAGGACAAAGGAATGGATAGGACGTGTTTCCTGTTCCCCAGGGGACATCCCAAGGTTCCAGCTAGGAACAAAGGCAGGGAGAGGGCAGGGGATCCACTTGGCTCCTAAGGGCAGATGAGAGGTAGGCAGTCTGAGGGGGCGGCGTCACCACCCTGGGACAGGACGGTGCAGTGGTTAGGCCCCAGCTGCCCGTTTCTGGGTCATTGCTCTGCAGCACCTCTTACCTGCCTGTGTCCCCATCTGTAAAATGGGCATGCAGGAGCTTATACCTTCCAAGGCTGTGTGAGGGCTAAGTCTGCTGGGACAAAGGACAACAGACTCTAAATGCCAGTGAATGTCCCCAGCCCAGCCAGGTGCTGAGGCCAGTGCAGCCTGAGATGAGGCTCCCTTCCCAGCTCGTCAGTCTCCAGCAGGGAAAAGAAGCTGGGTTTGGGGGAAGAGAGCCTGGGGTTAGAGTCTGGACTGTTACTTGTCCTGGACTTCACTGATGACCTTATCTATAAGCTGTGCCTGATGCACCAGGACAGAAGTGAGGGGGAATTTATTTATTTATTTATTTGTTTGTTTTTGGTGCTGGGAATCAAACTTAGAACCTTGTGCTTACCAGGCAGGCGCGGTGCCACTGAGCTAAATACCTGGCCCAAGGGAGGGAATCTTTTTTTTTTTTTTTTTTTTCCCATACCGGGGATCGAACTCAGGACCTTGCGCTTACAAGGCAGACGACGGAACCACTGAGCCCAAGGAAAGGAATCTTAATGGTCTGCCCCATCCCCAGGACCTACCTTCCCTCTTCATCCTTTTTCCTCCTGGCCAGTGGGGAAGCTGCCCTGAATAAGGCCCAGAAGAAGTGGCCTGCGTCCCCAGCCCCCTTTCCAGTTGGGTCCAGACCCCCACCCTGGTCGGCAGCGTGAGGGCCCAGGCCACACCTCTGCCTCATCGGCACTTGAATCCCAGCCACACAACTCGGCCATGAGACCCAGCACCCCCACTTCTGGGTCTCTCTCCAAATGAATGATGCAAAATACAGGAAAGGTACAAGTACCAAAAAACGTGCGTGAAGGGGGTGTTTGTAACCAGAGCAAAAGGGAAACCGCCTAAGTATCTGACAACAAGGGACTCACAGAAGGGGCAGAATATTCCAGAACTGCCATGGGATGGTCAAAGAGTCCACACGACTGCATGGAAACAGTCAGGGACACAGAGAAGGCACAGAATGCACTGGGGATTTAGCTCAATGGTTCTCCTGCCGGCCTCACAAATGCAAGGTCCCAAGTTCGATCCCCAAAAACAAACAAACCAAAGAGGGCACACAAGCCCCCCAAATGTTGACCTACCTGGTTTAAAATTACCTTAAAAATGAACTCAAGAAAGTAAACCACTAGTAGGCTAGGCTGCGTGAGGAGTTTGGAGGTCAGTTTTTTTCTCTAATCTATTTTCTTTTTCCTCTTTCGAGTCTCCCCCGCTCTCTCCCTCCCTCCCTCCTCTCTGTGGTCCTGGACACGCGGATCCCAGGAACTCCTCATGCCAGGCAAGGGCCGACCACCGAGCTACACCCCTGGCCTCCTCTCTTACCTGTTCTCTTTAAGAAGCAGGCCCAAGCAAACACACGGTTAAGCTGCTCTTTCTTTAAACATCTCCACGTGCTAATTCGTTAAAAACAATTCCTCCACGGCAGAAAAACGTGCTTTGGAAAGTGAAAGTCCCCCAGGGAAAACCCCACACAGGAGAACCGGCACATCCTTCCAGAACCTTCTCCCTGTGTGCAGCACCCTGTTCCTGTTCTGTGAGTGGCCACATGGAATCAGAGGGTTCACCCTAGACATCTACCTGTCAGTGAGGTCAATATAGGGCCTGGCCTGTCTCTTGGTTCCCCACACGGCTTCCCACTGCTTTGAGAGTTGCTGCCCGGGGCCCCAGTCGATGGGCATTTAGGGGGTCCAGGTGTTGGGTTTTGTTAAAGGAGCCCATGCCTACACATTTGCACGGAGCAGGCCAATAACTCTCCAGGGCTCACTGCCTAAGACTGAGTTGTGGGGGCCAAAGTTATGGACACTGGGTGTGGTGGCACACACCTGTAATCCCAGCAGTCGGGGAGGCTGAGGCAGGAGGATTTTGAGTTTGAACCCGGATTAGGCAATCTAGCAAGACTCTGTCTCAAAATTTTTAAAAATTAAAAAAGAGATGAGTAAGGTAATAAGGGAAAAGAAAAAAACACGAGAAAATAAAAAAATGGAAATAAAGTGTTTGTAAATGGGGAGGGGAGGAGGGGTTGAAGGGAGGGCAGGGACAAGGGGAAAAAATGAGAACCAAGACCTGTCATGCAGAGGTACAAGATCCCAACAATGTGTGTATCTGTACTGTATCCCTAAAATGCACCCATAAACTCAATTTTAAAAAAAAGAGAGATGAGGATGTAGCTCAGTGTAAAGGCCCTGGGTTCAATCCCCCGTACTACAATAAATGAATGAATGAATGAATAGTAGAAAAAAAAGGTTATGCACAAGTTATAATTTTGGGAAATTCAACCACTCTCTGCTCCCAGAAGACCAGACCCATTTCACCCCCTCCGTCCTGTTCGGCGGTGCCTGAATTGCTCAGTCCACACCGGTGCTGGAGATCTGGGTCCCGGGTGTCCACAGAGGGCAGCGCGCCTGCTGACACCTCATGTCTGTGGTCACAGTTGTTTTGGGACCTGCTCTTGTTCCCAAGAGCAACGGGACACATTTCTAGCTTTTCCCAAGTGGTCGTTCACTATGGTGCTGCTATGATGATTGAGGGACTTTTGAGACAGGGTGTCACCAGGCTGGCCTCAAACTCACCATCATGCCCGGCTCAATATGGCTAATACTGGGCTGGATATTTGGCTCAGTGGTTCCGCCACTTGCCTGGCAAGTAAGTGCAACGGAGAATGTCCCGAGTTCGATCCCCAGTACCAAAATATATATATGGCTATTATTAACTCAATTGTTTGAGCTTACAATGAAATTAAAGTGTATATTTTTACACATATAATAATGATCAAGCTGGGTGTGGGGGCCCATGCCTGTCATCCCAGCACTCAGAGGCTGAGGCAGGAGGATCGCCACGAGTTTGAGGCCAACCTAAGCTGCATAGTAAGTTCGGGGCCAGTGTGAACTACACAGCGAGACCCTGTCTCAACAAATCAAACCAAATCAAAACAAAACAAGAAGATGGAACCCCACTACTTCCCAATCCCTTTGTTTGCTCTCACCCATGCCCTTGAGGTCCCCCAGACCTATGACGTATGCAGGGCAATTCCAGATGCCCTGTGCTACCGTGCTGAGTGCCCTACACACCAGGAAGAGAGCTGGTCAGTTAGGTTAGGCTGAGGGAATATTCAGGCAGCAACAATCATCACAAATCAAGTCCTTGTCTCTACTTCTCCATTGTTAAGTATTTACTGGACATCACTGCCTTCCCCCCACCCCCTGGGGATTGAACCCAGGACCTTTGCACAGAGCTGAATCCCCAACCCTTATTTATTTATTTAGACAGAATCTCACTAAGTGGCTAAACTGCCCAGGCTGGGCTTGAATTTGGCAATCCTCCTGCCTCAGCCTCCCACGCTACAGGGACTACAGGTGGGGGCCACCATGTCCAGCATCACAGCCTTTTAAAGTGTCTAATCCTTGGTCTCTAAAGCCCATCACAGTCCTATAAAATCAGACTCCAGGAGGAAGAGGGCCCAGAGTGTGTCTCCGAGGCCAGGTGGGGGCCTGTCGCTGTGTGTGAGCTCCAGTGGCAGGGCCTCTGCGTTCCCCTATGTGAAATGTGTCACAGTGGCCGCCATCCCAGGGCAGGTAGGGAAGGGGCTTCTCTGCCAATCCCTGCTCCTGTCAATGCCTCTGACACTCGGTTTCTGGTCTCTCGGAAGTGTTAGAGACCAAGGATTAAGGGTTTAAAATGCTGGGCTCTCTGCTGACCCGGGCCTTGAGGAAGACAGAAGAAAACTGTAGGTGCAGAGGTGGGTGACCTGTGTGTCCTGGACAAAGCAGAGACCCACAATGAGTGTGAGGGTGCTGCGGTCACCTACTCCTTGAGACCCGTCCCCTGGCGGTCTCAGTAGTCAGCATGGGTCAGGACTCTCCCCGAGTCCCAGTCTGGCCTCCACCCTTCTTTGGGACAGAAAAAGGGGGACAGGCAGTGCTACCCTCTTGGCCTAGCTGTGTGGACTAGAGACTGCTCCAAGGAATTTGAAGTTAGCCTCCCCAGCAATGGGGAGGCTGAGGTAGGAAGATCGTCTTGAGTTTGAGGCCTACGTGGGCTACACAGTCAGTTCAAGTCCAACCTGAACTACAAAGCCAGACACTGTCTCAAAAAAAAGGTAAAAAAAATCCCAGAAACCTAGTAGCAAAACAACAATAGCAACTCCCTCGGCAGGCACGACCTCACTGCCGACCTTCACTGCATCCTGGGGAGACTTTGTTAGCAGCTGTCCCTCGCTCAGAGGCCCCCCCGAAGGTGGCCCCCCCCAAGATCACACTGGGGAGGGAACAAAAAGAAGAGGAGGTTGGAACCCAGAGCCCGCGGTGGTCATGAGGCCCCTTCTTGCCCATCCCTCCGACGGGAAACTCCAGGCCCACAGAGGATAAGGAACTCCCAGGGCTACACAGGGTTCTGGGACCTGGGCTTCCTGGAGAGCTGGGTGGACAGAGGCCAGGGGCCAGGGTTCAGGTAAATAATCTTAAGCCTTAATGCGGAAAGTCCCGTGTCTTAGGAAAGCCATTGGACCCAGCAAGTTGGGGTGGCTGGTCCCCTCTCCCCACCCAGAGCCCTCCCTGACAGCTCCACTGGGCACGAGCTCAGACCCAGGAAGGTCAGCCACACCGGGGTCCCTGAACACCCACCTGCGGGGCCGAGGCTGCAGGAGGCCAGCAGCAGGGCGAAGCCCAGGAGGAGCGCGCCGCGGTCCATGCTGTGGCCCAGGACTGCGTGCGCGTTGGGGTGGCTGGTCCCCTCTCCCCACCCAGAGCCCTCCCTGACAGCTCCACTGGGCACGAGCTCAGACCCAGGAAGGTCAGCCACACCGGGGTCCCTGAACACCCACCTGCGGGGCCGAGGCTGCAGGAGGCCAGCAGCAGGGCGAAGCCCAGGAGGAGCGCGCCGCGGTCCATGCTGTGGCCCAGGACTGCGTGCGCGCGGGG